ATTTTTATACAAATTTAAACTTTAAACGTTTAAATATGAAAATAAAAAAAATCTTTATATTATTATAATTATTATAACAATTTAGGATGAATTTTGTAATAAATAAAAAAAAAAAATGTTTTATTGAGAAGCTAAAACAATTTTATCTACAAGTACATCAAACAAAAACTAAAATAACTCAACAATTTCAACACCTAAATATAAATTAAAACCTATAAATGCCTCAAAAATAGTAAAAATAATTTTAAAATGTTATCACGTCTTGAGAGGGTTATTCTTATGATTATTATTATTATTTTGATGATATTTTCTTTTCTCAATTTTATCTAATTATTAACAAAACTACAAATCAAATAACAAAAAGCACACTATAATAAAACCAATATATTCCTTGTTACGCTCAGTACCTAAATAATTTAGTCAAATTATAGATGTAAATTAGTCATAACTCATTGTAAAATATTAAAATTTAATAAAATAAAGTGATTATTTTTTACTATAGCGGTGAAATTCAAATTTAACCGTTTGTTCCCTCGTTCGTTTCAACTGACTATGACTTAAAAAAAATTGAATTTTACTATATAAATATAAAATATTTAACGAATTTCAACAAATAGAAACCTACCAATGATATGTTCTCCGTAATTTTAAAGAGGAGAAAAAATAAACTACCTAAATAGTCTCTAAGTTTAAATTTAACTTAAGAAATATGTCATAAAAATACATTAGGTACAATAGGTATAACAATATGTATAGGTTGAACAAAATTTTATATTAATTATTATAAGTCTATAAAAAATTATTTCATTTTAAGAAATTAAATAAAATAAGTAGTCAGTAAGTATTATTTTTAAAAACAAAACTTAATTTACTATCGAAAGACCAATAAATTACCGTACCTATAAAGATACCTGGTGGAATTTCAATCGGTATAATAATTCAGTCATTTAATTGGAAATTAAATTAAAATTACAAATAACCCACAATTTTGTTCAATCTCAATAGCCAGGGTTCAATAAAATAAAAATCAAATTAGCCTATAAGTCTATGTATATTTTATAGATTAAATGGTATTCTAGTATCTATTTAATATTTAGGTTGAAGAAGTTGAATCATTAGATCTGTTCATGGCCGTATTTAGGGCGTCTTTATCGCGTCCAAATTTAAAATTAGGTCCCGTAAAAATATCCAAAAGGCTTTTTAATAGCTTCGATCAAATATTTTATCCATATATTTCATAATTAATATGTAAAAAAAATTACAGATTACATACAGTAAATGCACATGTGTATAAAAAATAAAGCTAAATAAGTTATGATGCATTTATATAAAAAAAAAAAAAATGTTTAAATGAAATGCGCAGTTGCTTATTATAAGTGTCATGCAAAGAATATCGTAGGGTCTCTGCCTTCGTAGGTTTGTGATGTCTTTATAATTTTAGTTCCCCTGAAGTTTATGGTTAAGTTCTGCCTTTGGAGCTGTTTCCATTTAAAACCCAATTAATAACAGCATATAAATAATGAAACCGACTGGCTGATGCGTCGACAGTTACGTACAGCCTATGTGTTAGAAACTTGACATTTTCACAGTAGGCTTCATAAGTTACTTTAAATATCAACTAAGGAAGGAGTTCTGAAAATTTACACGGGGCTGAAATAGGGGATGAAAGTTTGTATGCAAATCCATCATTTTTAAAGGGAAATTCATAGAAATTGGAATTTGGCCTTTTGGTTAGATATGTTAAGCACGGTGCATATTCTTACCTATGATTTACTTACACGTGTATTTTACACGTTTACTTAGTTACCAATACGAATACTGTCGATATTATTATAATAATGTAATGCATAGTATTATAATGTCAATATTATGGAATTATAATAGTATTGGTAAACGTGGGCGTAAGTATTATTAAAAAGGTGCACGCGCGGAAGATCGTCCGATGCTTGATTGACCCGGGTGATAAAGCTAATTTTAGACGAATCCGGTAAAGTCACTCAAAATCAGTCCGATCACGTCCCGGAAAAGCCATACAAAAGGGTGCCTGGGAAGGTCATTCGGCAGACGTGTCTGACTTAAGTTTAAGTAAGCTCCTTCACGCTGCACAAAACGTCACAATTTTCATTATATAAATTGAACATAATTTCTAGTGATATTTAATTTGACTTGAATAAACTGTAATAAAATCATTTATTCTTAAACTACAAACGAGTTTCTATTTATTCAATGAATTGTATCGTGCTACTATAAAAATTGGCACGTAACACAGGTCATTTAAATTAAGAAACGCGCGTATTGGAATTTTTTTAAGATGCTCACCCCAACGGGGAATAAAATAGGCGTTGAAAGTTTATATGAAAATAAGTCATTTTTGAAGTTACAAATTACAAAGGATACTTCCTTGTGGAAGTGCTTTTTTCAAAGGATAAATTACAAAACAACAACCTTGATGATAAGAGATTCCTTTTAAGACGTAGATTATTTTTAAGAACACCGATTTTACATCTAGGGTAGACGATTGTAGTAGGTAGGTGATTTGAATGATGTAGTATAAAGGGAGATTTAATTGATATTCCAAAAGCTACGGTACATAATTGCAATCAACAAACGATTGTGAACGGTCTTATATATTAGTAATAAATTAAAAATAGTGGGTTGCCCAGAAATTAACAAAAATAAACCGATGTATCGATATTTGTTGTGAGTTTTTTTTTTTTAAGTTTTACAGAAAATCTTTTGGAAATCTTGTAATATTTTTCTAAAATACTACCGAGCGAAAAATCCACATATTTTTTGTTACTATGTGAATAATCAGAGAATTTTTACCGTGGTTGTTTACTTTAGTAGATAAAAGTACGTCATGAAGATTTACAAGTCAAATAAGTGTTATTCCAGGGAAAAAATCATATCCTAGTAAAACTAATCTTGCTTCAAAGCCACACTCAGAATATCAAAGTCATATAATCTTATGTTTTAAACATTTCATATACGCACATTCGTTGTATTTCAGACGCGTGTACAAGGCGCGGTAAGGGTTCAAATCCTCCTGAAATTTGTGGAAAATTATGATGAAAATAGATTTGTAATTTAGAGTCTTAAAAGTGGTTTTTGTCAATGAGGAAGATAAATAGGATTTCGGTTTTATTTTTATTTTGTTACTAGATAGTAGGTATAGGTATATTGTTATAATTGTCATTTCTAATCTTTTGTGATTTTCCTGCTTTTAGAAAATTGTAACTGATATGGCGATGTTGTATAGACTGCATTATCATTACGATAATATAAATTAAGTTATCGTTTAGGCTGTATTCACTAAAAAAAAAAATATTAAATGTAAAATTTAGTAATAGGTAACTTAAAAGGCTGAAATTGAATGTTATAAAATATTGACATTTTTAATGAAAAATATGATAAAATAATAAAGTAAAAATAAAATTATTAAAATGGCACTGGTAAATAAATATGTTAATAACAAATTTATGTGTAGGAATAAAAAATCAAAAAATGAACGAACGCGTTACCTGGAGTATTGTGATAAGTGCGTTATACAATCGGTTTCGAATTAAAATATAATACAATCCTACAATTGAAAACTACAATGTAAACCGCATTTTTAAAATAGTACGAAAGTGTACAACCTTAACCCCCCCCCCCCTCCCACCTTCCTAAAAATAATTTCTCGCGAACGCGTCTGCTGTAGTTACAATATTACCGGTATACTTACTCACTTGCTTGCTTTAATATCCAGAATAATATGGCCCGCAGTGAGTAAATAATAATAAAAAAAAATATTGTATAATAACGATTACTTTTCTCGTTATAAACCGCCGCAATCAAATCGGAATGAATAATACCTACATTGGCGTACCGTCTATAATAGCTAAAATATCGCCATTAATTATTATTGTACACCCACTTGTCCGCGCCGCGGCAATTTTTTTCTCATTTTAAAATATCAAACGCGTAGCCGGTACACCGACGGCCGGGTAAAAAAAAAAAAAAAAAACAAACGGGCTTGAATTTATGAATACAGAATTTTATTATTGTTATTTTTTTTTTTTTCGTATCTGTTTTATTTCGTCGGGCCGTCGTCGTCGTCGTCCGGGTCCGTTGTCCGTTTGAGATTCACCGGCGTTAATATTTTAATATTACACGATGCCGCGGCGCGTCGAACGCTGTCACCGGCGTTTATAATCGACCCGCGTTCCCGTCGGAATTCTGTTATTATTATTATTGTTGTTGTTGTTGTTGTTGTTGTTGGTGTCGTCGTCGGCACGCGCGCACTGTCGGCGCCGCGGGCGCCCGCCGGTTTAGCGCCGCGTACAGGCGACGGGGACGCGTTTGGACGCGTCGAGAAACGTTTACGGGCGTTCGGCCCGGCGCAGTATTTACGCGCGGTATTCGCCCGCCGCGCTTTGAACGCGGAATAAATAGCCGCCGCCGACGTCGTTGTTTACGCGGCGGGCGCGCCGGCGACGAGAAGCGGGTCGAGACGAACGCCCGAATACCTGTGCAACAATAACAATACAACGCGCGCGCGTTGGCACCTATGATAATACGATATCGGCGGCGGGCGGACGGACGGACGCGAAAACAAATAAAGAACAAAAAGAACAGCTACAGCTGCGAGTTTACGAGTGGCGCCCGTACGCGCGTTATCATATTATAAACGTATTATTATTATTTTGTCGTTACTATTTACCCGGCCGCGCGCGTTCGCGTTCTGCCACCGCCGCGCGAACACAATAATGTTTGTTTTTCCGTAAAAAGACTACCGGAGAAAAACGATATTATTATTATACACAATACGGCAAGCGTACGGTAGCCGTATTATTACGGTGCGCGTTCTAGACACCCACGCACGACCGAAGCTTTGCGCCGGAGTAAACATAAGAAAAAAATAAAAAAATAATATTTCGATTCGTATTTTAGTGCGCGGTAAAATATATTATTATCCCATTTTATTTCGTTTTTTTTTTTTTTTTTTTTTTTTATTTTTTGTTCTCCATTCGCGCAGATACGGTTCCGTAACGATAACATTTCACGAGTTAAACGATACAGTATATAACACAACATCAACATACAGTATTGTATTCCCATCGTGTACGACGGTTTATGCTGGTCGTTGAAATGTTCAATACGGCCAGTGCTAAATCCAAACGCTTGCGAGTCTTTATGGCGAAATTAATGGAGTTTTTTTTTTTTTGTATTTTTATCGATAACCGTTTTAAGTTCGAATTTTATTGAAAATCGTACGAAACGCGGCATTTCGTGTACCGTTTTACCGTTTCGGTAATAATGTTCGAAAATTTGACACTAAGTTTACAATAACAGTTCCACGGCTTAGTGCAAGAAAGGCCAATGTTACATTTTGTGATTGCTGGGAAACGCGCTTCGACATTTAAATTCCCCGCGAGGCCTTGTATATTTTATTAAATGTAAATGTTCGTGTGATTTTCAATTTTTACGAAAACGTAAACAATTTTCATTTAGAAACTAAAAATATTGTACACTTTTTTTTTTTTGGACTGATTTTTTCAAAAAAAATTATTATTATTATTAAAAATTAACATTGGTCCTTTTTGCACCAAGCTATAGAGTTGTACTTATTGATAAACAGAGCTGATACTGTTGACGGCTGTTGTAGGTGGAAAGTTGGGAAATAAATAAGTATAGATATTAGATATCCTCACTGATTTATATCTGTACGTGATAAAAAGCAATATTCCATTAGTCATGTTTTTAAATGCCGTGATTTTTACGATTTTCGTCAAAATTTAAACTTGGAACGCTTATAAAAAAAAAAAAAACAACATTACCTATGTTCATCCGTTATTTTTTACCATCAAGTACAACTTGTGTTGAGCTTTGTTTTCAATGACAAACTAAATTCTTCTCCGCAACTTACACTTTATTTGCTGGTGGACTAAATTTCCATTGTAATAGTGATCCTACACGCCCGAAATTGTTATAAACATAGTTTTATAAATTATATATTTTTTATGTTTATTAAAAAATCTTTTTGAAAATAATTTTTTGATTAGAATATTTATCTAAAATTGTATCAATATTTAATATTATTTATATAAAAATCAAATCTGAATATTTTTTTGATCTCGAAACATTTAAAAAAAAACTACGCTTAACTAGTTTCTTTTTTTTTACCACTAAATACACGCAACTTACAATGAACTTTGTGTTTTCTTTTCGTATTTTTAATCAATTCTGTCTGATAAAATAATACTATGATGATAACGGACGATACGCAGTAATAAAACAAGATATTTTAATAATAATATAGGTATGCTCGAATACTAGCGACCATTATGTTTTAAGTTATATTTTTACGATACAAAATAATAATTATAATAGTCAGTAATACCTAACACGAATATTTTATAAATATAGTTTTTTGAAATATATTTTGATAACAGTAGATATGCTCTGATATGATAACAATAATATAATATGTATGTATGAACGCGATCGAAAAAATGTAATAATATTAATAGGTATACTTGCTGAATAATAGATAAAATATGAAAAATTATATTACATTTCTCCGATAAAATTCATTCGTTTTGATCGTCATCGTACAGTAGTATACAGGTAATAATATTAAAAAAACACATTTAAAAAAATTGGTGATTATAACAATTATTTGACAAAATTTCGATTTCGGACATCGCGACTTGTTCGTAGCTGTTTATAAACGCAAATCGCGGTTGAATACAAACCGGGGCACGTGTCCAAATTTAAAAATTTGTCGAGATAAATAAAATCTATCGAGCACCTATATAGAGTTCTATAAATAGTTCACATAAAATAACTGTAGAAACTATAATAAACTGCTGGATATCTAATGTTACATAAACGTTAGTTGTTAACACTGTGAAATTAGGTTTTCGATTTTTTTTTTTCTTCAGAGATACTTAAATGTAATATTATATTTAGTTGAAAAATTTAAAAATCTAGACACGTGCCTAATTTTGTATTTAGCTATATTCGTACTATAATAATATTATGGTATATTTTTTTTTGTCCAGTTTTATCTTTATTTTTGGAAATTTATGGCGCAAACGCCAATCAGTAACCACACGACGATGGCCAGGGTTAAAAATGCCGCGAACCGCGTCTTCATCGGGTCCCACGGGGACGTTGTGACGGCCGGACATTTAGGTTGACACTCGTTCGGCGTAATAACAATTTTATTATCGCCCGAATCGTTTGCCATCGAAAACTTATTTTCCGTCGATGCACTGTTATTTTGGGTTTTTGAGTTACCGCAACTGACCACCCGTTCCATTTCCATAGTCGCCGGCGTCGACAGAGGACGCGAATCGCTCGAAATGCAGCAGGCGGAATTGTCGTATCCCATGCACTTTTCCATATTTGAACCGAACTGGGTCTACGCGAATCGTTCGAATAATCTAAAAATAAGAAAAAAAAATCAGTAACAATATTTTTAAAACTGCTTATAGTTGATGTTGATACCATTAGCGGCTTCATGTTATGTTTTTATATTATTATTTATTATTCACATCAGTGTCCAGTTCAGTTAGGTTAGGTTAACCTAACTTGATCGATCGGAAATTCAACAAGTAATATACCGGGAGCGGAGCGAAATCATTTCTTTTCTTAAGCGGGAGCAGTCAAGTCCGTAAATTTCCTCGCCTAAATCAATATTCTTGAGTTATGTATTGTCTGTTTTACGATTTTCTTTCTTTACATATATATATATATATTTATATGCATGTACATATCGATTTAGACGACCGTATATTAAAAGTCCATTTTGATGACTCGGGTATATAACTACATAAGTTTAGAGAATCGATCTGTCCCTCCAGTCTCCCTTGGGATTGTACGCGAGTAACGTTTTATCCGCCATGAACATTGCCAGAAAATTCATCTAATACGAGAGATAACATCGTCGATGTTTTATTCGATACCGAATAATTTTTTTTTTTTTGTAATATTATATAGAGAAATTAAAATAAATAATAGTCGGAATAACTCGAAAATCTGTGAAAATGAATCGCGTGAGTTATCAGCAGTTTAACGCGTCAGCGTTCGAATATTCGCATATCGAATCCATGGGTGCTCTCGTAGGGGGGGGGGCGTTATGGGATCCCCCCCATGACCTTTTTTTCTTTCTATAGAATTTCCCGTTTAACTGATATTTAGTGATAATAATCAAATAAATAAATATTATAATAAATAAACATTTTTTGGACTCGTTATCATTTCCCACAATATTCGTATACAGACCGTGTTTGTATTTTATATTTCTGTGGTTACAGATTAATATCTTTATCATCGCTCTGGTTTTATAATCAGCTGAGTTCATACATAATTGATGTAAACAATAAATTAATCTAGTGATACTACCACCAAACTGATGAAAGAGGTAACATATTTTCACGGGTTTTTTTTTTTTGTTGTTATCAATAGTTTTTAGTGAACAATTTACTAAGTGATAACTGTTTATGAATTACTTTGACAGTTCGCAATATGTGCAGTGGTTCTTAACCGGTGTTCCGTGGACTTAGTATAAGTGATTCACCAAAATTTTAAAACCAGTGAAAACAAATTCATAAATTACAACAGATTGAACTCTCAAAATAAAATTTTCCAAAATAACAGTAGAAGAGTTTTGGATTTTCGTTCAAACCGAATTTAAAACAATTTATTTTTCAATTACAATTTTATTACAGTTTCCAACATTTTACTTGTGATGCGAACCTGAATTTTCAACGAATATTAAGACAAAGAAACGAGAAAGGCTGACAAATATAGAAGAGGAAATGAGAATATAGCAATATCCTACATATGGCCGGATTTTGAAAATATCTGTAAAAGTCACCAGGCTCAAATATTTCATATAAAGTATTCCATTTCAAATTCTTATATTTTTTTAAATTTTCTTTATTATTTTATTATTTTTTAGTGACTAAAGTGTATGCAAACTATTTTGCAAAAAAATTTAAATAAATACTGTTTTATTTTACGTCAGTGTTCCACGAAAATATTATAAAATGTTAAGTGTTCCGTCATTTGAAAAAGGTTAAGAACGACTGCTATGGTGTATTGACGACATATATTTGACCATAATCAAACGAAACAAATTCCACTAATTCAAGTATATAACCTCCTACAAGTAATGATATAGAGAGTATAAAAGTTAATGGTGTAGGTGATGTAGACAATAGTAAATTGCTTGAACAGCCTGATTAAAATTGTTGAAGCGGTAGTTAGAGAAGTCCATAAATAAGTCCTAATTGACCCCGAAGAAGTTCTTGATGTACTGGCTCAAAAACCAAGAAAAATTGATATAATTTTGTAAATTTAATATTTTAATCAAAAATATAATAATATGTTAAAATTTAATGTATGTTGTTTTTATATTAGAAAGGTGGTGCGAGGGCTTAGCTCCCACGGCTCACTTTTTAGTATATTTTCATATCTCTCTCTCCAATCAAAAATTCTGAGGATGCCTCTGATAGTACCCACATCAGTGCCTATAATATGGAATATCGAAATTTGATTGTTTTTTTTCTATTTATTTTGATATTGGTTTTTCACTCGGTTAAAAGGCCCATTTTTTTTTAAAAATTATAATTTAATATTATATTCTAATTTTTATAGAATACATGTATTAATTTTTACTATACAGTATTGAAACTATTATTATTACAAGATACGGTTATTGTTCCGCAGTAAAAAAAAAAAAAAAAAATATTCAAGTTTTGAAATAATGAAAAATGTTTGTTGTGAATCGTTTTTCATGGAAAACTATTCAAGCGAGTGTTTTCGTATATACCATATAATATTATGCACAATTTATTATTAAACTCTTTTGGGAATCAAAGAACACACAAACTTTATGAATACAATTTAATATAAAAAAAAAAAAAAAAACGAAACTATAGAATATTCGTTGAATAATAACGAAATATATGCATAAATATTAAGTACGGTTAAATAATCATTTCTATCGCGGAAAGATCGTATGGAGGTCCAACTTTAAAATATATAAAACGAAAAAAATATATCAATTTTTTTCCAGCAATATTATGTAGATATAATAATAATAATATTTTTTAACCACGGAGTAAAATTAAATAAATATAATAATTACAAACTACCGTGACGCTTGAATAATTTTTAATTTAAAAGTTATATCCCAAAATATGGAATTAGTTATTTATAAAAGGTTTATATAAATGTAGGGACCTGCGTAAATATAATATTTGAAAAGCTTAGGTTGTAAGTAATTGTACGGTTCAAATTTTGTTTTTATGCCTTTTTTTTCGTATAGAGTAAGTTTAGTGCCTATGTACTATATTGAAGTGGAGCAGTTCTACATCGCCGAGAGAATACAATAAATGAGTGTAATCTTTTATTTAATTAAAAAAAACAAAACAAAACGAAAACCATTATCTGTATAAACAAAAAAGGAACGACCCAAATGGCACACTTGAATTGAACCTCGAACTGGCGTATACAGTCGATATTTTTATTTATTGAATTTGCTCTCTTGGCAATTATTTCGTAATAATTCATAATCGGTTACCGAAATCGTAATGTTCAATAATAAAAACTTCCACAATTCCCATCCCAATTTAAAACAATTTTACATTTTAATTTAGAATAAAAATAAATTTAGATCCGAAAATTCATAATTATTATAACATTTTAAAACGATAAATTTCGCAACGTTATTTTAACAGTCTAGCAATTATTTTAATTAACGTTTATTATGTACAATCATTGATTTTTAATGTTGACACACTTAGAGATACATAGATATTTGCTAAAAGAAACAGTCGATTTAAAACTAAAATGGGAAATGCCTTATAATTGTTGATATTGTGGTGCTGTGCGCAGAATTTCTTCATGGGGGAGGGGGGAAGTAGGTATACATAAATACATCAATTATCACAGAATATACTCCGGGAGTTTTGCAAAAGTAAACATGTTTTTAATTCGATAATATCTAACCGCCAATAATCTGAACGTGAAAGAAAATGTAATGGGTAAGAGTTTGAACCCTCATCATCCTCTCTTACGCACGAGCCTGTGACGACGGGTGAGTTAGTGAGTACAACAAAAATGCGAACTTTTAAATTCCACACTTTTGAAAAGGCTTAATATTAAGAGTTAAATTCGTTACAAGCTTAATCTATCTTTCAAATTTCAAAAGCCCGCATCTTAAGAGTAAACACCGTCATACCGTCATATCTATACGAAGGTAAGAAAACCTGGGTGAATCGGTTTATATAAAGACACGTTGGCATGTCAGCCGGACCTTGGCCTGGCGCACCGCTGTGTACTCAGATTGAAAAATCATAAAAAAATAATACGTTTGATAAAAGAATTAACTTTAATTACCTTTTTTTTTTTTTTTTGTATCAAAATGTTGGTTTTTTTTTTTATAGATGTTGCAGAAAAAATAAACCCCGAAATACAAGACAACTTTACAATACAAATGACTAATGGGAAACGGTTTTTTATTTAATTCGACCCAATATTACGCAGTATACAGGTACACAGGCGCATCATATTTTTATATTTTTTTCATTTCTCACAAAAAAAAAAAATTATGTCCCGTAAAAGGAAATTCTCCGTCCCCCGCGAAAAAAAATATGACCGTTTTTTTTTTTTTTTTTTTTATATACATATATATGTACTGAATAGAACGCATTTCGTTTTTTTTCGAGAATCGCCGTGGTCATTGCATAGTGATCACCGTGAATAATAAATGTGACGGTGCCTGCACGCACACGAAAAGTGTGGGATTTTCCGAAAACGACGCGTATCCGCGTTGCTAATTTAACAGTTGCGCAACGTGTACAACGCACAATGTTATTAATATTAGCACAATCGTTTTGACGACGTCGAACAAACGTTGCGTTTATATTATTTCCCGCGTACCGGTCGGGCGTTACGAGGAAACTGGTGGGGGGGTGGGTGGGTGTGTGTATAAAATTACAATTATCGCAGAAGTTTCGAGAATATTATCGTATTAATTCGGGAACGTAATTTTAAACGAGAACGCGCAACACGAGTTTGGCGAACATTGTTGCGAATCGCGATCCGAAGCCTCGCCGCGGTTTGTAATTTCCGAAATCTCACCCGGTAACGTAGGTACGCCGATACAATTAAGGCCATAAAGTTTATAGGCAAAAGTACGGGTATACGTATTCGTATAATAAACGTGCCCAAGACCTACTGTAGCGTGTACCTACGGAATATCGTAAAATTGTCGACTAACCGTGTTCACGGTGAAAAGGGTTTTTTTTTTTTTTTTCATACAGTGTCCCACAGGTGCGTTTAAAAAAAAATATTTCGGGGGGGGGAGGTGTTAGGGGCCTTAAGTCTCGTACTCTCGTGACGATAAACAATAAACAACAAAGAAGTTTACATACGTTCAGTTTTAGGATTGGTTATTTTTCATTAAAAATGTCCATATTTTATGACATTCATTTTTAGCGTTTTACAGTTACTACTATTACTATACAAATTTACGTTTGATATTTTTTTATAGTGAATACAGTCCAAACGATAACGCGGTATGCAATATCGCCGTGTCAGTTATAATTTTCTAAAATCAGGAAAACCACAACAAATTAGAAATGATAACATTAACGGTATAATATACTTGCCAATATTAAATAAATAAATACAATTAAAATAAAACCAACATTTTATTTATCTTCCTCATTGACAGAAATCACTTTTGAAACTAATAAAAATCTACTTTTATCATAGTTTTCATGAAATTTCTGCGGGGATTTGAACCTCTGAAACCCCCATTGTACATTCACCTGGTGTATCACGAAGATATATCCATTGTAATAGCTCCGGAGATAATAAAGATAATCAAATTCAATTTTTTTTTTTTATATATATATATATTACTCACAGGGATAAGGACAATAAATATTTATATTGCGATAAATTTACATGCTTAACTTTTTATTTTCATTAAATTTGCGATTTTTAATAATTTTTTAATGTTTAGAGAAAAGTACCTATAATTATGCAGCAGGCTTTAATCGCATTTTCTAATAATTGATTATTATTATTACGAGTAATTTACTGTACACTTATTTTCTCTTTAAATTTTTTACCAAAATATAAAAAAGAATATAAATAATTGTTTCCTTATCCCAATGAGTAGTATAAAGAAAACAGAGTTTGATTATCTTTATTGCCTCTTAGATATTACAATGGGCATATTTTCGTGGGACACCCAGAATAGTTTAGTTTGGTTTAGTTATACAATCGCGACAGATGTGAAATTCGCAATGACGACAGTGTTTGCTATATACCACGAATTGCCGTTGCTTAATAGTTGCTAAAAAGACATGTTACATCGATAAAAAAAAACGTGCGTTTGAAAATCATTGTAAATATGAAACATATTGTTTATAGATATCAAAAATAATATTAATAAATTGAAATAGACGAATTTATTAACGACTGCAGTAGCGTGAAGTAGGGATTTATAATGAGCTTATAGGCGTCGTTGTTGAAATTTGATGAGTGGACGTAAGTTGGTAGGAAGTACGGCAGTCAGCAATAGGTAGGTATTTGGTATTTGACAATAATCAATATCAATGAATGGGTTAGTACTATTAAATAGCATTTGTTATTTGATTGACCATCAAGTATGTACATAAATGTATACAGGCTTTTCCACTACAGAATTATGACCCGCAGATTTCCATTATTAATCATCGAATTGAATCCAAATGTCAAGTATACAATTTTACCTAGACCATTGGCTTTAAAACTGATAATTTGGCGCCCAATTGTCTTGTACTACTAAACGCGTGAAATATATTAACAGAGTTAAGAACTAGGCCAGAGGTATTTGTAAACTTGAGACCACGGGCTTAAAAAGTATACCTAGGTACTTAATTGTTTTCCGTGGATTGACCTAAGGACGTTTGTCCTAATATAAATAGAAAGAGGGTGGATGCTGAAACGTGTTTTGTGTATCATTGTTTACAAAATATGTTCACCGTGCCATTGACTGGGGATAAAATTTAAAGTTTAAAGGTAACCCATTGTGAAAATAGCGAAAGTATTATTCACGCGGCCTATAAAATGCGATGTGCAATGTAGCAGGACTGAAAGGTATCGGCTCTGTATGCATATTGCTGATACAGTACTTAGTATTGCACTGACTCTGCCGATATCAAGTGCTTCCCCACGGAGAGAGCGTTCTCAAGACTAAAATTGGTTAAAAAAAAAAAAAGTTCTCGAAGTACACCTACTACGAGTGCGAAATACTGACGATAACATTTTGTGTAAGTGATATTCCAGTTGATCCCGAACGTTTAGCACAGAAATTTAATAAAATTACTTTTGTAGTATTGTACAACTGTACATGTTATCAAGTAATGTAAACTAATATATTTGTTCGTGGCTGTCTGTCCGTATGCGTTCTATCTCGCATACGAATGCGAATTTTCGAATACGGTCTGTAAACGATTATTAGTTTGGGCTCTGAAGAAGTTCGCTCATTGATTTTAAATCCAATGGGTGAAAGAAAAAAACGAATAATAAGTTCTTACGCTACTTCGAAACTCCGGTTCGTATAAGTTTATTATTGTTAAATATATTTATACCCAACAGTTTTTTTTTATGTTTTATTGATTGCATTTGTCATAGAATAACTATATAATATTATCGATTATTATACTTCATTTGTTTATACGATTCGTTTAATATTATATTATGCTGCATTTTAATTATGCTCTTAAATTAATTGAACTTTAATTTACAAACAATTATTTGTAATTAATATAATACATTAATTATACATACATTTGTATAATTTATAATTTGTTGTCACAGCGATTAGAAGAAATGTGGATAACCTCCTCTTGTGCCCATTACGAATCTGTTTTAAACGTATTCGGTCGGATAGACGGTACTTCTTGAATTTCATCGAAAAAAATTAATTAAAATTGAGTTTTGTATCACAGTATTGTTCATTGTCGACCACCGCAGCGAAATCGATATCGGGGAATTAGGTAAGAGGCGCATCAAACAAGGGCAAATGGACGACATTTTTAAATTACTACGGGAATTTAATTATTTGTCGACTTCCAGTTCATTTTTATTACAAACAATTAGGAACCCCTCCCCTCAATTAATAATCTAAACCAACGTCACAGAGCCGCGGTAAACTGCGATATATAAATATGTGCCAGATGTAACCACGGCCATCGTGTCGACGGTATATATTAAGCAGGGCTCTACGGTATATTCATTAAAAAAACGCATAAATACGCACGGAATTATGCACTACAAATTGGTAAAATATGCACTTGAAGTTTTAAAACTATACTTTTGAAATATGCGTAACGCAATTTTTTTTTTTTTTTTAAGGAGAGTCAATTTACTAAGAAATTAATATTTTTGAAATGCATATATTATTTTATTATTTCAAAATTTATATTGTATCGCAGCAACACTATCGACCGAACTCAGCTCAGTATCGTTTTTTCGTTAGAAATGGTTAATCGTCGCTTACAGATATACATTAATTTCCCGTCTATATCCTATCTTCCCGACTTCCCATCTACAACGGTGTCTGCAGCCGTGCCCATAATCCTAGGATAACCTTTTTTTTTTTTTTCCGTTCAGATACTTACCATGCCAACAAACAATATTTAAACGCAATCAACGTGAGTACGAATTGAATTGAAATTTTTTTTAAAATACGTTCTTCTTTTTTTCCCGATGCTAACCCGAATCAAACGAGTTGAACATAATCGCCGGTAACAAAGCCGACTTTTCAATAATAATTTAACGCGCTTTGAAATATAACATCAATTATATTAGTAATCAATCGCAGTTTTATCGTACACGGTGAAAATCGACAATGCGAGTAATTAATAGTAACAATCATTGCTGTTACGGTGCCTACCTGTACCGCGATATTGTGGCGCGTCGCGAGCCGTCGTCGTCGCATTTAGTCACCGGCGGATCGCCTCCTAATAATATTATTATTATGCGTGCGCGGTCCCCCGCACCCCGCCGATTGATTTACGAGCCGCTTTCGCGCGGGAATCGTCGGTATAAAATATTATTAAAACGTCGTCGTCGTCGTCGCCGTCGTACACGCCCGCTGGTGTAAAACGGTTAAGCCGGGCGGTCAGGCCGGTTTTAATTTAGGAATTTTTTTTTTTTTTATCGATATAATATTCGGTCGCGGGGGGGGGGAGGGGGAGGGAACGAGGAACGGGAAAACTACGTCGGCGGCTGCGGCCGCGGCTGCGGCAGAAGGGGCAAGAGGGGGTTGGGGGTCGGCGGAGGGATACGCGAGTGCGGGCGTTCAGACGCGAACCCGGAGCCGGGCCGCGGCCCCCGCCGAAGGGCCGTTAAACGCGCTCTTGTTTATTCGGTTCGCGCCGGCAACGTTCTACCGGAATTAATTCTCATTGAAACTGGTAACGCGCGAAATAATCGCCCCGCGAACGTAATACCGTATTATCGTTATTATTTATACTCGAATTATTATTATCATTATTATTATTCGCCGCGTATTGACGCGGCGCACAACGCGCCGTCCGCGCGGCAGTAAGCCTACCGCTATAAACGCACCGTACGCGCGTCATTATGCGAACGTGGTACGCCGACCGCATTGCCGAATACCGAGCGGTACGGAATTTTTTCCGCAAAAACTGTAACGACGAAAATCCGTATTCGCGATTCGCATCCCGTTACGCAGCACTAAACTGCAAAACTAATTTGCGATTATCGCAGTTCGCGGGTTTCCGAAGGGTTCCGAAAACATTTCACAAACGATAAACGTCCCGTCGAATTCGGCGGAAGTGTTAAACATCGCGTCGAAATTCCGGTCTCGTTTGATTTTTTCAACGTCCGCGACGCATATTCTCGATTTTTCCTGCGCGAGTTCGCCCCCATCGGGAAAAATAATCTCTCGTCCTTATCGACACCAGCCAATTATACAGACACGAAACGCTGCCAAAAAGGTCTCGAGCTGCAGTTTTTTTTGAACGGACCGATAAAACCCTCCGGCCGAAAATGTTTTCACTGCAGACAAAACAAACAGAGCTTATACTGCTGACGGGTGTGCTGCTGTTATATGCGAAAAGTTTGGATAGTAGGATACATACAGAGTTATTTAATTTATATTTGAACACAACGATAAGCCATTACTAACGAAAATATTTCAGAGCGATGTTCGGTTCAAAAGGTTTTTAAATGCCGTGATTTTTCATAAAAACGTATAAAAATAATAACGAATCTTATAAAAAACACTGCTACGTTACAGTCAAAAGTCACTAAGAAAAATAGTCGTTTTTTGTTATCTAAAGTGTTTTTCATAATAATTGGAAAAACCAAAAAAATACGATTTTTTTTCATAATACTACTGCGCGCGACGTATCGATTGCATTATTTTAAACTTATATGACAGTTTATGTTTTTAACCATAACTATTGTTCCGATAGAAAAACGACCTTTTTTGTTCTAGATTGTCTGTAAGTAACTCGTCTTTTAATTTACCAGGCAGTTTTAGTATTAACCGATAAAAACTGGAAAATGACAAAATATGAACACTGATTAATTTACGGGACATTCCTTTATTTTTCCTTTATTATTCCTTTACATTTTTACGGCTTATGAATTTTACAAAAAAATATTCGTTCAATAGAAAAACAACAAGAGACATTTTTTGTTACTTTTATAATCTAAGTGGTAACAAAGAAAGTCGTTTTTTTCGATTTACTTTTTAGTTTTTTAAATAGTTGAGCAAAACCGAAAAATACGTAGCAAGAACGTAGAGAATAATGATTTTATTATTTTAATTTTAATTTTTGTAATTTTATTCAGAAAAATATTTGTAAAGACTTGAAAGTTGAACAGAAAACTAACATTTATTTTTTTTTAGACATGGTAAATCTTTCAAAATATTTGTGCCATTTATGAGATATTTATGAACATTTTAATTTTGCGAGTTTTTTTATGTAATTTTTATTTATTAGGTACTCTGTAGATAGAATTGTATAACAGAAATGTTTGAAAATTTGACTATAAGTTTATTTTAAGTTTTGAAAAAAAAAAAAAATTAAATGTAATGTAGTATTCTTTTATTTATTTATTTATTTTTTTTTATAAGAGTTAAAATGAAATTTTGACGAAAATCGTAAATATTATCTTTATTATAACTTTCTTATTAAGTCATGTCTTTTAAACCATGTATGACTAAACTTCACTCCAAACCGTTTTTCGTTAGCAACGGTTTATTTTTGGTTACAAGTATAATAAATAATTTTATGTACCCTACCTTCCGAACTACGCATCTATAGCAGTGGTTACATTCGTCTCTAGTATCAGCTCCTTTTTACAGTCAAATACAACTTATGTTGATCCTCGTTTTAAATTCCCCGTCTCTTAGTTTGTAAGAACCCAATTATTGTTATGATATTTATATAAATATAAAATATATTTTAAGTTTATCGACAAATCCTAGCAAAACATTATTCGTTGAATAATAGGTATGTTATCTCCATATTTTATCTCGATGTTTATCGTGTTTGTTATAATATTTCTTTGTATGTTTAATAGAGATAAATACCGGAATCATTGTTTTGTCCCAAAGCTGACTTAATATAAAATTGTTGACGTATCTTATGGAAGAAAATTAACTTTCACGGGTAGCCGATCTTACATAGCCACCTGTAATAATTTGTAGAGGTTATGGTATGCACCGCGAAATTTTAATAACAACTTTCTTAAACTTTCATGTAAACTTTAATAATTTTTAATACAATATGCTTATATTTTCTAGAGCTTCCTATTTCACGGCTACACGCTTTCACATATTTACGTAACATAAACATTCAAATTTACAAAACCGTGTAATTACAAAATCTGCTTAAACGTGTCATTGTTATTTACGTTTAATTATCATTCATGTATTTACGTTATTTCAAACGTCTTTTCACTACGTATTGACTTGAATAACACTAAAACACGCGTGAACACGGATAGTGAATTCAAGTGTATTAACTATACGTGAGTACATACCATTCTTCACTGGGTACATGGACTCCGTTTTCACGTACTTATTACACACGTTTTCATTGGAGACGTCTAATATTTTCCCGCTTTAACAGTTATTTAGAAAACGCGCACAAATCAGAAAATATTTTCTGTTAGAAAATGTGCTACACATAGTGATTGGCGCCATTAGAAAATCTATTCACTTATGACGTCATAGTAAAACCATTAACATATTCCCCACTATTACACTCAAAATCTAATAAATAGACACACTTATTATTATACAACCAAAAAGCATTGTTTATTTTCTTTATAATTGATGTTGCATACTAACGATTACGTAGTTTTACTCATCCGAAACACTTTCATTTTCTGAGCGGAACGAGGAATAACAAATGTTTTACTATGGCACGTGTGCTTAATTATTGTGTTTGTAAGCAAATTTTTTAATAGAAATTTTTCTTCAATCAAAAATGACAGTTAACCTTTATTGTAGCATTTAAAGCATTTAATGCATTGAGTTCAGTTTAAAAATCACGCTTCGATAAAGTTTCCGCTACAGGTTGATGTTTTGTGGTGGTGTAAAGGGCATAATCTAAACGGCTACGTGTGTGGAATGTGGATATGGTGGTGGTATAGAGCGAGGGGGAGGGGGCAGTAATCCGGACGACGCTGGCGGTGCTGACCAAAGAAAATCACATTGAAAATGTCGAGTTCGAACTTTGACGAAAATCGCAAACAAGTTTATTTTACTCAGAATCGTATTTCACTAGCGATGATTTGTTTTTAAGGATGCTAATAATTACTTAAGAACAGATAACTGAAAAAAAATACTGTAAAACTCGTTCAAAAAAAGAGCGAGGAATAATTAACTGAGAAAATCGAAAACGTCCGAAAAAACAGAAACCGAAATTTCCATACTGTTCGTAATTGCACATTGCAATGGCGTATTTAGAATTTTTTTTACTTTTACTTTATGTATTTATTTTTGTAAGTACCATTTGGTAGTTTGTAATACTGACCGAAAAATTATCGAAAACAAAAGTTGTAAAATTGTTATCTATTAAACTCACCAAGTTTATTAACCGATTAATAACTGATCTAACTGATTATCTTATTGCATACAGCGATTCGGACGGGTTTAGTTTTACACTAGAAAATGTATACGTTTAGGTTTGTTCGATATAGCACAATATAGGTAGGGCCGGCCCAGTGGGCGGTATTTTTGATTTTCCGACTAAAAAAATAAAGCGATTGTAATTTTGACAAAAAAAAAAAATCGTTCGCATAAAATAATGGACGGCGAATAAACTGCAATGGGAGGGGAGGGAGGAAACGCATCTTCCGAATCTCGCCCTGTATGCAAACAAAAACAAAAAAACCGCGAAATTCGTACCGACATATAGAAAGATACGTTCTTACAGCAAAGCCGTCGACTCGACGTAATAAGCCAAACGGGGTGGGCGGGTAAAAAGAATTTGCGGCCGGCCGACAATAATACGAAACGAGCGATAGACGCCACCGGCACCGCTATCCACCGGCGTCGCATCATCGTCGTCGCTCGCGTCCGCGTCTCGCGCCCTCGCCGCCGGCCCCACCCTCGCGCGGATGACGCGCCCTCCAAGTCGATATGACATCGGGACAAAACTTCGCCGAGACCGACCGATAGCCGCCGGTACCTTATTCGCCCGGGTCCCCCTCTTCGGTCCGCCTCGCGCCCCTCCGCAGCGGTGCTCGTGTCGCGTATCGTCCCGGCGGTTTTAAAAGCGTAAACGACAACGGCCCGAGCATATAAAACCGAAAACACAACAACGATATACTTACCTTCACTCGGCGGTAGTCTTGTAATTTTTTTTTTTTTTGGTATTTTTCGTGGGGAGAGGGGGCGTGGGCGGGCGTCCGGGGGTCCGTTGTCTCGGACGAGCGACGGTTTTCTCGCGGACGGTAACGACAATCGCGGATATTCAACGACACGTAATGCGACGACGACGACGACACGACGGCGATCCGGTACGGGAAAATGATCGCGAGTTGTCGAAAAAACGAAAACCAACCGTAATTTTATTAACGACGGATTAACTACGAATTTGTTCTCTGTAATAATTCCATTAGCGATTGTTATAATCGGGACGGTACGCGCGTTGAGTGTAATAGATTACTACGGGGCCGAAAGCGCGACTCGCGGACGCGACGGCACGACATTCGACCTCGCGTGAGCGTCGGCGGCGGCGGCGGCGGCGGCGGCGGTGGCGGCGGCGGCGGCGACGTCGGACAACCGCAATAATTCTCCCGGTCTTTCTACGATAACACAATATAATACCCATCTGTATGATGTGTGTGTGTGTGTGTGTGTGTGTTTTTTATTTTTATTGTTAATTTATTATAATTTCCTGTTTACGAGCGACGCTCGGCGTTCCATAGGCTGGCGGCAGGTATCCCGCGCGCTGTCGCGACGGCGACTCTCCGAATCGGATAGCTGCGTACGGTACTCTACACGACGTGGTATTACGTAGCATACGTAATCGTGCGTGCTGCAAGTGGATGCAGTCGGAGCTCGTTATTACCGAACGTACCCGCCAATAATAAGTGCGCAACGGTGCAGCTCCGAACCGGATAACACGAAAAAAAAACCGGTTTGAACCGTCGCGGTCGCACGCGGCGTATCGCGCGTGTAACCTTTTTTTCGGGTAACGTTTCGGCCGGGGACGCGTAATGTACTCGTGTATAGTATCGTATATTATACTCGGCTTTCGGAACGTTACGGGGTGGCACGCGTCTTCCAGTCCAATGCGATCCCCTCCCGTCCCCCCCTTGATTTTAGGACACGCTTGAAATAATCACAAATGGAAACGTTTATTTGCCCGAAGCCGCTGTCACGCACAGTTGTACTGTCGTACCGCATCATGATGTATATTATCGTACCGCCATATCACCGCATGGTAGTTATGGTTCTACGGCGATAATGACGGTAACCATTGCAAATACTGTCGTGGTGCGGACAACGTCGTCATAATGTATCGTTCATTGCATCACAGCGTACTCAAACGGGAAATAATTTGATTGCCAAATATACGTTTAGTAAATTTCAATCGTGTTTCCAATCAAATTTACTATGCGCAGTTTGTGATTTTGTGATTGCCTATAATACCTATCATTACATTTTTTTCTTCAGTTGTCAAATTCTATCGTTTTTAAAGACGTGCGTTTTAAACGTTTTGCAAAAACGAGAAAAAAAAAATGTTACGAAAAGTAAGACCATCTAGGACAGGGTTTCCCAACCGGTGTGCCGCGAGGCCCAACTGGGTGTGCCGCGAAATGCCATGACTATTAATAAACGTTTCCGTAAAATTTCAGTAATTGGTTAAAATAGTTTTAACGATTCTCTTATCGGGGAGAATCTTATCTTATTGTTCACTATTTCTTATTAATTCATTTAAAATGTTAGTCAGTTAGTCGTTTGTCGTCGTATGAATGTCGTATGAAGTACATTTATTATTACCGTGTTTTATTTTAACGGAAAATTTTTCCCCTCGCTTTACGATTATCGTTCGTACTACGTGTAGCACACGATGGATCGTTTTTTAATTAGAAAACGTAAATTAAGCGAAGAATTGCCTGATCCTAATTATGCTCATAGAGCTGATGTTGAGGAATTGCCTGGTCCGAGTTTCAATCCTCCTAATGTTGAGGTGAGTGCGAGTAAAAATGCTAACGTACGATCAAAAAATTATATTCGACAATATCACGAAAGCTATTTATCATTTGGTTTCCCGTCGAGTGGTGGAGAAATGCCTATACCCAGTATACCTCAATGCCTCATGTGTAGTGAAAAATTATCTAATGAAAGTATGGTACCAAGTAAGTGCCGAGTGTGCCGCGGCTAAATATGGGTTGGGATTAGTGTGCCGCGAGGGAAAAAGGTTGGGAAACGCTGATCTAGGAATTTGGCGTTAAAAATAGGTGCTTGTATTTAAGAAAATATAAGAAATTTTGCACAAGCGTGCATCGAAAAAGTTAAAAATATTTGAATTGTATCCTAAAATGTGCAATCCAATATAGATATGTAATCTCTGTATCTTCTTCTGAAAACTGTATATGAATCCAAGGTACCGGGCCTAAGTATTTAGTGTCTATATTTATAGTTAGTTATCCGGGGGGTGAACGATTGAGAATTTCGACTTACGGTTCAAGTAAACTAACCGCGGGACAGGCACTTTCGCATCTTTTAAAGTGGTGCGTGCAAAATTCGCAGCCTTTTTCACAAACCGAAAAAGTGTTTTCCGAGAAAAAAAATTATTGTATTATATTATTATATTTCATTGACGGATGATCTCCGTTTATAATCAATCAGTATAATTGTATAGTATAGTATGAAAACAATACAATCAAATTGTACAGCTAATACTAATTTTCTTTACACAGATAATTATAATAAAATTGCATGTAGTATTTAATTTGAAAAACAATAATAATTAACAACTAACCAAAATTAAATTCCAATGTATTTCTTATCGCCGTCAATATATCAGTTGCAGCTGATAATTTTTGTAATATTTAGAGATATTATTTATCATGAAACAGTCTTGAATTATTGCGGATTTATAATAAATTAATTCTAAAACACTATCGTTTCAACAAATAAGAGAAATCTACAGGCACGAATCCAATGGGAGAGGGGGGGTTTCAGCTAGATTTTAAATTTTATAAGGTGTTTCTATTAAATATCTAAATATAAATTGTTTATTTTTTGATAACAACAAAATCGAAGTTACGATTTTGTCTTGATAAAAGCTCAAACGAATGCAAACGGAAGACAGGCCAAAGACAAAGTAAATTGTTTAAATTATCTCAATTTCAATTTTTGTTATTTAAACTGTTATAAATAAATAAGCAGTGGGTAAACAAATTGTTTGATTTAGTTCCCGCTCCTCATTTGTAATTTCTGGATCCACGCTTGGCAGTCAATTATGTTATTTAACAATTTCAGTAAATATTAATGTTTACATTTATAACTTCTTCGTTATACACCAGGAATATAAACGTATCACACGCCATAATATCATATCAAAACCGCAATAAAATATGTAACGCAATTTTTATTCTCGTAATAATATTCTCACGACGCGTGACATTCTGTTCAGTAAATTAAATAATATCAATAATAAAAAAAATTGTAATCGGTATTTGGTTTTGTGGTCGACGTTTATCGCGGTGTATTAAGTATGTAACAACGTTCTCGTTTTCCGTCGATACGATAACATATTTACTTACCCATAACTATACAATTTAGATAATACTAATGAGTAAAATTAAACATTTATAACGACTTGTGTGAATAATAATATGACCATAGACGAAAATAGGAGTGGCTTAAGGAGAGTTCAGCACTCCCTGAGTCATATCAAGTGTTATTTCTACCGGGGATGCTTTGAACGTGGAATATTTTGAATACAGAATATTTTATGGGCGCACGCTCGTCTATGAATATATTATATAGATTAAAGTGCCATCTATGTGGGTAAACGGTTTTATTATATTCAAATGAACATCATCTATCTGAACTGATGTTCCTTAGTGTTCCTGTCTTACGCCAGCTTTATGTCTTTTACATACCAATGAAATTTCTATACATCGTGATAAAATCAAAGTTTCTCTTTTCGCTGACAAGACAATGTTTTTACCAACGACCAAAAGTCCAAAATAGAGCCTCGAACCGTTTTCAATGTCAAAGCGATTTGGGGTTTGAATGGGTAAATAGATTTCGAAGTAGCGTATTTGTATTAATGTAATTAAAACTGACACCTTATAAATATGGCAGACACCTTCAGCAATCCTCTAGAGAAATATTTTGGTAGATAAAAATAAATGGTGTACAAATTAACTGGATACTCCAAACAAAATACCGAGGTGTTACTCTTGGAAGGAGTTATTAGGTTTCGGAGATCATACTTCAATAATTATCAAATAGACGACGTAAACTAGAGGTATGCTCTTTTCTGTCCTTTGCGAAAACAGTCATATTCCCATTAGATTAGAAATTAATATTATCATAACGTACATTATCCCAGTTTTTTAATATGCTGGCGCAGCTTGGGCTCCTCACCACGTTATTAAGTCTGATTGGCGTCGCCTAAAATCTGTTACATCATTTAGTCTCTACATAGTTTCCGATCAGTGATTAAAGTGTATACCCCCAGATTTTCAAAATCTATTAGTGAAACATTTTTATAAACAAAAATACGTGAGAGAAAAAGAAATTGAAAGTCTTATCTTCATAATTGGTTTTCTGAAAGTTTGGTTAGATTTAGTTTAGATGCCCCTTAATTTTCGATAAATATTTTGTAAATAAATGGTCCCTCTTCGAAGTTTATCCTATTTTAACCACTGTCTCCGACCAACCTTCGATTTAAACAAAATGTTTCTTTATTCGACTCATAAAAGTACTTTAAAAGACATGATAAGCAATCACTGTAAAGTCACACAATCTCACTATTTTCTTATTTTTACATTAAAAACATTAGATGTCGCTTCGACACGCCAATCGATCGTAAAACTAGACCACGCCCTTTGAAATCGGCTCTAGGGCTTATTAAATTCTTTATCGAATTACACTGCAGTTCACAAACTCACTGGCCGTTCATGCATAAATACAGAAACACACATTTTGAAAATATGTTTAAGCCGTTATCCTTTGCGATGTGCAATACTAATTACATTTAATTTAACGGATACCTACACTTATTTTTAAGAATAGTCTTGTTTTCTGTAAAACATTTGACTAGTATAATTTTTTCCATCCCAAAAATTGCTTGAAATGAAATCTTACAAAGTTTATTAAAAAATATGATTTTTTTTTTAAAATATTAAACAAACTTGATCTTAAAAGTGACGAAATAATGTGATGTTTTATGAGAAAACAATATAAGTAAAGAAAACCTTATCCTCTCCCTCCCCCGAAAACGTTTACGAAAACTGCTGATTTGGCTATTGAAACCAATAATAAAACATTTCAAAAAAACAAAATAAAATTGACGGATTTTATATTTTATAAAATATTTTATTTTATTTCATTAAAATTACTAAATAAATAGTCGGTTGTTTTATTTTTAAACTATGAGGAGGATGAGAAATATAATCTCTATCAACCCCTCCCCTTATTTTTGTGAACGCCACTGGTATATTTATTATTACTATCCGAAAACCGAATTTAAATACTATAGTTATCTAGTCGAAGAATTTAGTAAAAGTATCTGTTGAAATGATCATACTGTATAATAATAATAATATTGACAAATATTTTAGACTGTTATATCATATTATTAATTAGATGCAGTTTGGTATGCACGGTTGCTGACCTTCGCTGGCAAAAACGAAAGTTACCATTTTGCCGCGAGAATGTTTCCTTTTCCTCTACTTGTTTTTATCGTTGTCGTCGTCGGTCAACGACACACGGTTAAATTTCGAGGCGCGTCCGCCCGTCGTCTGACGCTGTAGCAGTTTCCCGGAATTCGATTTTTTACGTTAGAACGAGTAAGAAATATAGGTATTATACTACTAATATATTATACAAATGTATTCTGTGGCAGCAGGTGTTGAACGGATTTCCGTTAAACATTTTTTAATTTCTTTAAATTTCATTGATTTGCCATTATAAAATAAACTACAATTGTTTTTAAAAAACCGTATAATTAGTTTTAACTTAAAACACGATTATGAAAAAATTACAGCATTATGCTCAGATTTTTAAATTTTCAACTTGACACAACTTAAGACGACTCTGGTTCGAATTTTTCGAGCGTTTTCAGTGGGTTATATTAATAAACCGAAAAATAATAGGTACGTAGAAATGTTTTTACGATTTTCGTCAAAATCCGATCTTCAAACTCTTGCGAAAATTAACCGTATTTCAAAATTAAACCGATAACAGATGTATATTTGAAAATGGCTAATAGCTCAAAATTAAATTTTTCGGGGTCAATGGTAATCAAAAGAGAAATAAAAATATCACTCATGACACATTACGCAATAGTAGTGATTATTTTATACTTTTCGATTTTATTGGGCTTAGATTTTATAAGAATACAATGTTAAATTTAAAAGGCAGTTCAACATTATTTAATTTTGATAACTAATAATTCAAATCACCATGAAATACCAGGGAATAAAAAGAAGGTTAAACAAACCGAAATAAAAATCTTATCACACGCAGTATTAGACTAGGTCTAGGGAAACAATAACGCAATCCGTTCACACATACCCATAATTATTGTGAGAATGATTATTTTTTCTTTAGATAATTAAGTAGATAAAATACACTAATAAAACAAGGGTTGATGAGAAAACCTTAAAGTATGTACCGAGTGGCTAGCAAGTACCTACTTAAATATAATATAGATAAAATAAAGAACAAAATGACGCCCATGAATAAATTTACTATTAAATAATTTAATAAAAATAATAAAAAGGGATGGCAGGGCTATAGTTATAGTACTGGGATGATAGGAATTACTGGTCAGACGTCCTAAAATATCCGTTCCTACGCAAGTACGCCTTTGCATTTATTATTATATTATCTTTTCCTATTAGAGAAAATACAATTGGAGGTCGTGAATTCTGTTACAAGTATGTACCCATACATTTATCTACGAGAAACACAACTGTTCCTCTACAAATAAATTTTGTCAATTATACAGAATTGAGCCTTATCACAAAAAACACTGGCAATGTATGAATAGGTCTTTCTAGTTACCTATATTGCCAATATAAAATTCGGTCTTATAAATTATATTGCCAGTATAGAAAATTGTTTTTTATGAATATTATAATTGCTTACCTGTCGAGAACACGACATTGTATCTACCCTGCAGAACATCGATGACGAATGTTCACAGAACTCCAGGAATGTAGAGAAAATAGTATTAATTTGTATAAACAAAAATAACACAATGGTTTTGATAAATGGTTTCGAAGACGGCGAAAAGATACCCGCTACACGTAAAAAAAAGTACAATCGACTTCTAAAACGCCACTAGCGTATGATTATGAAAACACGACGAGGGACACTGAAAGACTGCCTAATAAGGAGTCGTTCGTGGGTAATTATATGCCGAATTCTTTGACAGCTATTGTTGGCAAATTCAGTCCAGCATAATTCTGTTTATTGATTTATAATGATAAAGTAATGATAAACGAGTTAAAATATGTTATTATGATCGAAAATCTAATATCTAATGTAAATAGTACATTTATATGATATATTTGTACATACTATTTATTACTAATTAGTTACATAAATTAATTTTTTTTAAATGAATGAATTAATTAATTTCATCAAAATATAAATATTTAAATATTTAAAATTGTACGTTTTTTTTTTTCATATATTGTGTTTACTATAGATTATCACAGATTATCACATATTCAAACTGTTTAATATATAAAATATATTAATTTTACTAAGCATTTCTGGTTGTTTATTTATATCATTTTTTCTTCTCCGTTAGTTATTCATGAATTATTAAATAACCTAACCTGACATTATATTACGACAACACGATATGCAATTACAATATTTTACATTAAAATATTATAATTCGACTAAATATTTTCACTTAATTCAATTGTATTGATTAATATTCAATTAATTTATTAATAAAAAAAAGATGGAAATTAATCAAATTATTAAAAAAAGAAAACGTAAACGCTTTTGATTCTTTGGAAAAATCCGAGTAGGTAATTCAAATTTGTCACCGATCACCTTAGGATAATTAAGTGCGAAAAGACTGATGGAATGACAATAAAAAAAAAAAAATTTAGAAGATAGGTTAATTTATTTACAATAAGTTATTTGATTTATATTCGTGAGAATACGTTAGCGAAAGAATACGTTATACGAAAGACTATTCTAAGCGAAGTTCGGTTACATATTTTTTGAAATATCATAATTTTTACAATATTTGTTAAAATTTGATTTTAAAATAACTATAAAAAAAAAACTACTGATTTACGCCCACATTTTTTTTTTTTTTTTGATCTTTAAGTACAACTTATAATGAACATCGTGTTAAATTTTCCAGCATTACTGTTTGGTCAATAAATTGTATTCATACATATACATATGCCAAATAAAAACTAAGAATATGTTAACTTTCCTGTATTTCCTACATTTTTTCTGATTTTTATTAATTATTATAAAAACTGGTTAAGAAATTAAAATGAGACTTCCATATTCACAAATATTATCCAAAGTGCATCAAAAAAGGCCACTTGTTTTTTGATTGATACAAGATTTCGTGTAGAAGAGTTATTTATAAATAAATAATTCTCACTAATCATCCCACTATACCATTTCCCCATGACCTCACCACTTGCTTAGTTAAACTTTGTGATTTTATTTTATGTTATTCTTATGACATCCTCCAAAGAATGGGGGGGGGGATTATTAAAATGTACAGAAAAAAAGTAAATGAGCAAAAAAAACCCGTCCCTCCCAAAGTTTTCGATTGACGCTACACCTGTGTTTATGTCATACTTTTGCAAACAAATATATCTGGTCATATTACACTATTATGTCTACCAATATTTTTTATTATTTTCGTCTCTGTATAGTAGCTGATTTTCAATAGGTAACTTTGTTAGATATTTATGCAGTTAAGGCATAAAAAAATAAAGTTTTTTCTCGTCTGTAAATAACTTTTCTTACAGAAATCTTACCCCAAACAAAAAACGACAAAAGAGCTTATTTGTACCATTTTGAATCTAGTTGGTACATTAGGGAGGTCGTTTTTGATGTATATATTTTTTTAATATGCATTATACTTGGAAAAAATTGAGAAATTTAAGGCAATAAAAGTTTAATTATTTTCGATTGAAATTTTCTACCAGAAATCTTGCTCTAAATTTAATGAGTAGCATTTTTTTAAAATATAATGTTGTCTGGTTGGTTTGTACATGATCGTATTTAATTTTCTGTATAATTTTCTGAATAATTGGGAAAACTAAGAAAAACTGAAAATTATAGGGAAATTATAGTTTCACTATTTTCGATTTTAGATTCAGAGTGTATTGGTAGTTGATATATTGGGACTTTGGAAAGTAATTTTTTGATTTATGTTGTAGTTTATGGTAGTTGTTTTAAGGAAAAAATTGGAAAAACCGAGAAAGTTTACATAATTAATGGTCTCAATGTTTGTATATATAAATTTAATTAAATTAAATTTGTCTTTATTTATGATTTGTATTTATTAGATACGCATATTAACCATGTCCTCCTCCTGCCTTTATTTTACCCTTTCGTCTACGACCCCATGCTTTTCGAACATAAAAGAATTGTACAACAATAGTTATAAGAAATCGAAGAAAAATGTTTCACTAAAATAGATACCTACTTACTTAATGTAGTTCTTGAGATTTTTGGAACATGTACCTGTACCCTCAGACGGTGAAGTTGAGGGTTGGAAGTTGAAACTTTCTAAAGCCTACCTCATTATTAATTTTAAATTTAAATTATAATTACAAACAAAATTACTTGTACAAAGTTCTAGCATGCCATTTAGTAAATATATTTTAAGACAAAATGAAGGCGTTATAAATATTGAATAATGATGAATTAGTACAATCAGTATAAATAACTACAATTTTTTGAAGTTAGCAAAAATCATTAGTAAAATTATTTTTCATGGACAAATTTTTTTAACGGTTCATATTATTTTGTAACGGCAATGAAATTAATTTAAATTATAGTATACTTCAAACATGTTCAGAAAATTAAAGATTCATCATGAGTGAATATTTATAACGCATTTATCAAAATTATATTTCCAAATATATGTATAAAATAGCTATCTTGAATTTTGTAGTATTAAAATATTTTATTTTAAATTTAAAAAATATATAAAATAAAGGAATTATAGTACAAGGCGTTAGTAATTATTACACGGGAAAAAAAAATTTAAAAATATTAAACAGAACATATATATATATATATAAGTTATTGTATTTAACAGACCTCCATGAAACACATGTATATCTGAGCCTTTAAAAAAGGCTACTAAAAACACCAACCATAATTGAAATTAATTATTTATTACTGCAGATCGCAATAGTATTATTTATCCTTAAGGAGCTTTAAAATAAAATAATTTTTCTGTGAGTTACAATTGTGTACAAATACATATTATCTTTTTTTTTTTCTATTTAAGTATTTGCAGGCTTCAACTGGTTAAATTAAGATTCGCGGTGTTAAAGTAAAATATAAATATATCTTTTTTTAACAATAAATTAACATTGATTTAACCACATTTAAATACACGAACAATTGTATAGAATTTTAACACCAAATTAACATAAATATACCTAGTGTATTTATTGTTGTTTTAAATAAACAATGATATATGAAACTTACTTCTTCAATTTGACTCTAAATAAATATTGTTTTAACAACATATAAATGATTAAGCCAACATCATAATTTTTCAAATCTTCTACAAAGCCAATTTAACTCTTGTAATATTTTTCTATTTTTACTTTTATGAATTGTTGAACTATTGAGTCACCAGTCATCAGTTTGAGTCATCAGTGTCACCTTAACAGTCACCTTACAATTTTGAAATTTAATTTTTTAAAAATGTCTATAAAAGCTAAATTAACTACAGATTTCTATGTGTATAATACTTACTCGGTTGTTATTTTAACAACAGAAAATTATTAATTTTGTATAATACTACTTAACACTATATTTAGAGTAAAATGAACGTTCCTCAGTGGTTATGTTAACAAGAATTGCTCTTCGATTATCAATATATTTGGTGTTAAAATGACTAAATATAGAATTGTTAAATCATTAATGAATATAATTTTATAGTTACATAAAAAAAAACTTAATTTAAATTTTTACATTTATTAAGTTATGATTAATAATTTTTGTTTTCAATTCAAATCTGGAATGGTATCGCCAATTGTATCGTGATGTTTGTGCGCGTCTTTTTGGTCTTTTGCATCAGCTTGATATTCATCGACATGTTCAGAGTTTATTTTGTTGACTTGTTTATCGGTTCTAAATAAAATATTGGTGAAACTAATTTAAAACTCACAATAAATTGAATCTTAACAGCTAAGGGTGTTACAGTAACATTTTTCGTCTCAGTTTGTCTAACAGGTAATATATTACAAAAAATGTACTCCCGACAATACTCAGGATCTAAGGTACCTAAATAAATAAATAAATAAATAAATAAAGCCATCTATATTAACAATAGTTTTTTAATGGGAGGTTTTTTAAAATCTATTTCCCAAATAATTTATTTTTTATAAAAAGTCTATTTTTTTTATCATAATAAAAATGCCATATTTATCAAAATATTCCCCTTTGAAAATATAGTAAACGTTTCCATCTATTATTTGATGAAACAATTTCTTTTTAGGTCTAATTTTTTATCAGAATTACAAAAACCAATTTTTGCCATGTTTCTCATTAGGTAGACAAATACACAAAATATGTCTTAAGAATGCCCTCAAAACTAATATACTAACAAATCTGAGTCATGATTGTATTTGAATTTTCCGAAAACAGCATCGCCATTGTTATGTATAATCTACAAAGAATAATTAAGTTTACTCTTCATACGTGTATAACATTATTGTAATACTTACTTCGCGCATTGTATCATGAGGTTTATGAGCTCTATGACGAATGCTTGTGATATCTTGAATTTCATCGCCATTATCAGAATTAATTACTTCTTTAGAGCGGTTACTGAGATGATATACCAATAAAAATATGTAAAATTCGTGTATAGATGTATTAAACTTTAAATTTACTTACAAATCTGATTGATGTTTGAATTTAGAACTCCCGAAACCAGAGTGACTTCGTAATATCTACAAATAAAAATAAAAATAATTACATTCGATTTAAATTACATTATAATAATAGAAGTCTCACGTCGCCCATTGTATCATGATGTTTGTGAGCTACATGTCGACCAAATGTAGCTTTGCCTTGCTGGGTACTTTCCGACAATCTATGCATTACAGAAAAAAAAAATGCTTTAATTGTATAATGGTATTATTTTTATATTTTAAAAGGATGTTTGTATTTAATATTTATTTACTGGATACTTTTTGGCGATACTAAATTATTGTAGTCAACAATAACAAATTATCAACCTTTCATAAACAAAATAATAAGTAACCCAAATTACGGTCCGAAAATACAATTTCGGAATAACACAATCACAAAGTTGAATTTATTACAATTATAATTATTTATTTACATGCTATAGTTAAATGTCATTAATTCATTGTTAGACTAACAGGTTGTGGTAAAAAAAAAAAAACTCACCCTCTATTTTTCTCTACATTCGCCTCAGGGCCATTGAAAATATTGGACGGTTCCATGTTTTCGCGTATCTGAGATTAACTTTTGCTAATGATGTCTATCGCTGCTATGGTAGGTAGGTAGAAAAATAAAATATTTTCGTTAAGCTAAGTTATCGAGTTACATAGAATGTCATTACTTTACAGATACAGTACTTACCTACGAGTGTTTTCAAGTAAGTATAAAGTTACTTTTCTACAGTGCAGTTGCCGTTAGCTTCTGAAATCTACCTTTTTAGTTTTTATACTTATTTATGATTTATAGCGGATAATATCGTAAATAAAAGAGACGTTGATGTTGTTATGTTTGCTATTTACGAGACGACGTGCGATGGTTGCCGTGACATTGAATTGAATAAACAGAAGCAGCTGGTAATGAACCGCAACCGTCGAACACAACACTACACACCATAGAGAATTATATTTTTTTATTGCACTTTTTTTAGGGAGGGCATATGATGCTCTGGGTTGAGCGAACCCGGGGCCCCGAATTTCTACTGATGGAAAACCCAGGTGGGCGATTTCAGTAGGCATATGATGTGGTCTGTAGAGTGGATGAATTCACCTTATAAGTAAGTGACAATACCATTCTCCTTAAAAAAGGGATTAGAATACATACATCCCACAAATGGGGTTGCGTAAATTCGACAGCCAGTGTAAAATTTGGGTCAAACAATTCGGTGGACGATAATATGGAATATTTGGCGGCATTTTTTTGAGCTTGATTTTAATACAGGTGTCGAGTTCATATTATATAGAATACTAATATGTAGGCCGAAAGGATTATTAATGATCTGAGCTGGTATATCTCACCTAATACCTACCTATTATTATTATTTATATTAAACCTACCACTTAATATGTTGGTATACTAGTATTTTTATTTCAGGCTATTACGATAATTAAAATGAGATTTTATGGATGTGTATAATCTATTACTAGTTTAAGTTAAAACAAATTATAGTTTTCAATATAATTGTTTGTTTTTAATGATTACATCGTTCGGTATACATTAACTGAGCACTTTTTATTTAGATTTGTGTTTATTTTTTTTTTTTATTTTTCATTCAATAGTAATTTTACTTAGTGCCGATTACGAGTCTTCAAAAATTGTTTGTCGAACGCGCTTATTTTGGAAGTTATAGATATTTGAATGTTGTGCGCGCTATTAATTATATTTATGACTGTTAAAAGTCCCACATACCAAGCTGTGCACATTAATTTTTATATTAACGTTTTCGATTGAAATTTTGATAACTCATGGCATTTATACCTTTATAGGTGAAAATATATAAGCGTAATATTGCGTTGCGTGGAATTATGCTGATTGAGACCGTTACAAGCCTAACGTTTTCGCCGAAGCGGTTTAGGTACGCGCGTCGACGATGTCAAAAACAATATTTTTATTTCCATGCACACTAGAAACCTATCAACCGCCGGGAACGCGTAGAAAGTACCATTATAATCATATCACATAGGGAAAAAAAATTACAGTTATGAAATAAATAACATAATATTGCCCTACGCTCTCATTGATGTTCTTACCAACATATGAAACCATGCATTATTCTACAGTAACATATTAGCTATCAAAGCTACGCTTAAGCTACCTCTGATTCCTTAGACAAAACTATCAGATTTCTATCTTATCTCGTCACTCTACTTATTTGCATAATGTGTGATTACAACAACAGATTACAATACTCATTCTCTGTTATATTTACCCGTTCAATATTCCGAACCATACAAAATAGCCAGTCTCACCACACTATTGAAGCACTTAACTTTAAGTCTCATTGGAATTATCTTGTCTCACAAAACACCTGACACTTCTTTCCTCTTTATCCAACCACAACTATTAATCCTATACTTAACATTTTCATCAATGTCACTATTCTTTTATACAAAATATCTTAGGTATTTAAAACTCTCAACCTCGTCTATTATGTCAACATTTATTGTCGTAATGCTATCTTATCTTGTTTCTTTAAGCTTATATTCTGTTTTATTTCTAATTACCCTTAGACCCTTTCCTTACTCTCTGTTCTTCAAGTCTATTGTTAACTTATTTCATATATTCACCTATAAAAGCTATATCATATGAAAACAGCACGCACTATGCCGTGGTGTATTTAGGAATTTTTCATGAGAAGGGTCCAGACAATTTTTAGAATACTGAGCCGTGGGGAGTTTTGCCTTTACACCTCCCAATTACTCTTTATTAAATATATACAATATATTTATTTTATAAGTCTTTGTAAAAATTGTGTGATACCATGGTAATTTAGCGATTATATTGAATGAAAAACTGAAACATTTCAATTAAGATAATATTTAAAATTACCTATCTACAAAAACAAATTACATAACATTTTATTCTATGATAACAAAACAAAATCTAATCGCCTAGGACTAAGCGTCATTTCGTCAATAATAGCATTCACATTGAGGGGTATGTCTCGATGAATTGACATCAATGTCAATCCATTTAGTCTATCCTAAATTCAAAACAAATTTAAAATATAGTTAGGTTGTAACTTTTATAATAAATATTTCCTAAATACATTACTTCATTCATAGTTGATCTAAAATAAGTTTTCTACCTTTTTAAGGTTGAAAAAGATCTTTCTGGAGTAGTTGTGGATACTGGCAATGTACAAAAAATGTATGGTTGGAAAATCTGTATTCTGTCTTCGAACATCTCATTAGTACGTCTAATCCACTTTTGGTATTGACATCTTCATTGCTTATTTTATCTTTCCAAATTTTTAATTCTACAAAAGAATTATCCCATTTAACATGTTGTAAATAAAATTAATTTATTTTTATTACAGTAGAGAATTTGTTCAATAACCAATAACTCGGTATTTTTCAATCATGTTTGATACTAAATTGATAACAAAATAAAAAAATCACGATATTAATTAAACATTTTAATGACTGAAGTGTCGACATTTTTCACAAAATACATCGTACCGTATGATAAAATTTGTTTTTCTTAATCACGTAAAAACACAAAATTTAACATGCACGAGTCAATTGGAGGGGACCGGACGCCATGAACCTCCCCCGTAAATACGCCAATGGCACTATGGCTTCTCTTTTCACCTATTGTTTTAACGCATATTCAAGATGGGATTATCCGCCAAAGACTTGTTTAAAACTCTTCATACTGTTTGAAATAATTTTACACCGGTTGTCGATTTGAAGCAGACTCATTTTTCGCCGAAAAGAAATAATACATATAATTTTATAGGTAAATGTATATTTTCCCTACACGAACAATTCATGAAATGCTTCTAAGGTAAACCTTTGAAGTAATTAAAATAAATCACAAATTGAAATTACTCCTTTCTTCCTTTGTTTTACTTTAATAATATTAAATATAAATATTTTATATAGCGCACAAAAAGCACATGTTTACTACTAACATTTACATTTACATTTACAGCACATTTACACTGCACCAGTGAAGTAAAATATTCACTGGCAGTCCTAAGTCTGTTCAAGTGGGAAGGAAAATTTGTGCGCAAACGAGTGATTGCACTAGAAATAGTCGGTGCGCAAACAAGTGGTTGCACTAGAAATAATCAGTGCGCAAACGGCTTGCTGGACGAGAAATAATCTATACGCAAACGAATTGTAAAACTGTGCGCATTAAGTTATGATTTTAGTAAATGTGCGCAAACTATGTGCGTCTCCTTTACACGCTACACGAATCGGACGTTGGGAGGTTTTTGTTTTTTTGTTTTTTTTTATGGACGCGCACGACCTCGTTTCAAAAACGTGCAGACGATTATGAGTTATAAATTACAACTGTAATACAGAGGGCTGTTTTAACAGAAATATAAAAATTGTTCTAAATGTTATTTCAACCGTACATTCGTTTGTATTATGTAAGTACTAGTATACTAATGGTTAGTAGGCACACGACTGTTGTTGTACGGAAACATATTTACATTATTTTTTTATTTCGTTTCAAATAAATATGGAAATATTTGACGATAACGAAGTCCCATGCGTCATTTTTCGCTATTTATAAAGAATGAAATTAAAAAAAATAAATAAATAAATACAAAAATAATAGTAATAATAATCGAAAACATTCATCCGTTAAATTTTAAACGACCAGAAAATTGTCATTTTCGAGTTACATTAACGAATGAACAGAAAAACGCTGCTCGAATCATGTGGTGATTGGTGAGTGAGCTGATATTATAGGAAGACGCGTTTCAAATACATTGGGACAAAAAATTGTAAACACGTCTAGAAAAGGCAAATACCATTTTTTTTGTCTAAATTTCAAGTCTCTCCGCATATTTTGAACTGAATCACAAAAAAAAAAAAAAAAATACAAAATTTAAAATAATAAATTTCGTAAATTTCCCCGTTTTTCTTACGTTTTTACAACAAAAATTAAATGTTAAGCATAGGTAATTAATTTAATTGTATGGTATTGAGCACTCAGATTTTTATATATATACGTCAGGGTTTAGGAAAGGAAATCCAGATATGATTTTTGATTATCATTCTGTAATATTTAAGGCTCTAAAAGAAATGTTTAATTTACATTTTTTTTAATAATTTAGTACATTGTATAGTTCACTACTGAAAATGCGGTAAATTTTCGTAATATAGTTAATTATGAAAATATAAATTGCAAGAAAATGCATGCATAACACTATGAACCTAGTTATATATTTATAATGTAAATATGCATAATTATTGTTGTGTATGGAATTATGTAATTATGAATTCTCAGTCACAAAACTTTGTTTTACTATGCAGAACTATATGAACAATGACGGCAAAATTATGAATAGTATTAAATATAATTTTGATAATGGAAATCAATTTCCACAGTCATAGTGAGTATAGTTGTTCAATTATTTTCAGATTCTCAGTGGAGCGAAGAAGCTTATGGTTTTACAAATATGTTTATTTATTTATTTTTGTTTTTCTACGAGTAACATTTCTATCAGTAATTTTGATCCAATTTACAATGAAAGCGCTTTTTCTGA